GTATTTTCGTCAGTTCATAGACCTGGATCGAATTTTGACGTTTTTATAACTTACATACAATCGTGAAGTGTTCAAAAGAAACATTGCCATATCGATGTATCCGAAACTGAGAGAATTCGTGTTTTGTTTATAATACCCCGAACAGTGAATGGTCCTAATCTGACGAATGTTTAAAAAACACTAGTGACTTTTCAAGAATGGTTTATGAGATCGCGTAATTTTTTACATTTTTGTGTGTGTATTTAATTCGTGCAATGCATATTGCTCGTAGCAATATTTCATTATTACCGTTACAGTTGTAAGTGAACATATACATAATCGCCTTTGCCGTCGCTATAGTCACGAGAATTAGGACAAATTTAATGAAGTATGTTATTCGTATCCTTACTACTCATATTCATATTAACTGAGTTTCTTACACATCGTCTACATTGACATTTATAAAGGAGCCAGTGTTAAGATGTATAATGAATTCATTTAGTTATAACTATTTTCTATGAAACATTTTTGAGCATTTTGTAAATTGAGTACGTTCTCTTCGTTATTAATTCTGACATCGATGCGTGCTCGACCTGTGTGTTTATGTGTAATCGATTTCTTTATGAGAAAGAACGATAGAAGAAGTGAGTTGAACAGCATAATCAGTTGTATATAAATAAATGCATAACGCAAAACTATGAAGCACTCGGTAAAGTGCTTTCCGCTCATGATATTTCATTTGATAAATCTTTAAAATATAGATTGTATTATAAATTACATAGACGGAATAATCCAACTGTCTCTTATTTATTTATTACAATATATATTTAAACATTTTTGTATGCGAGACATCGCATAACTTATGCTATTTTGTTTACCATGCAGGATACTTTATGTGATTGGCGTCATGTTTAAATGTTCGAAAGTAAATAAAATTATCTACATATGTATAATTTGTTACTTTTAAATTTTTAGCAAAATTTTTTCAGCGTTATCTACGATGTTGTATAAAGACATATATGTATATATAAAACATTTTGTGTAGAATTTTACAAATGAAACAGTCACATTTAGTGTTGCAACAAGCATACTACGATCAAGGATATATTACATTATCTGCGCATACTTTACCAACAAAGCTTATTATACTTTTAAATCGTTCAAAAAATATATGAATTCGACTTCTTAACATAAATTAGCGATAAGTGTATAAATTACTTATATATACATATTGTATAAAATTTCTGAAGACTGTACGTATATCGTTGTATAGTATGGAATGCTATGATCACAGATGATAAGTTTTCTTGTAAAAATAGACTTCTATGATTTCTATACTATATGTATATGCACACCGTTCAGTGTTACACGTTGCAAAGATTCAGTTATGGTCTCACCCATTTGTACGAACCGTAATAGGCAAAATTATTTTCCTTCGCCATTTCATCGGCTTCTTTGGGTCCACGGGAACCGTATCTATAAATTGAATATAAATAATTTATACGTCGATGCAGAATATATTCCAACAGCTGTAAGCTATTGCTTCCTATTTCTTACTTGTACGGAAGCGGTTTAATATTTTCTTTCTCTATTTGATGTAACAAGGGCGTGAAAATTCTCCAGGCCTCGCTTAGTTCATCGCTGCGTACGAAATGCATTTGCGAACCGCAAAATACATCCAAGATCAGTCGTTCATACGCGTCAGGAAGTTTCAGATCCTATACAATGAAAGCGTGTCTAAGCGCTTACGAAATCCGCACGTACCGTTAAAGAGCAATGGTCTTGAACTTACCTTGTACCTATAACCGTATGTAAGGTCCAACTCGGTTTCCTCCATGTCGAACGTAATACCGGGTGATTTCGTCATCATTTTAATGTACAACGCTTCGCCGGGCTGCACTCTGATTACCAATTCGTTCCTCTTCGCTTTTCCGTCGAATATATCACCTGGCACGTCTTGATATTGTATTCTAACTTCTGCCTTTCGTTCGTTCAACGCTAATCAGGAACACACCAACGTTTACAGAACAGATCAAAACTTACGTACAAGTTATATATTTTATTCCGCTTTACCTTTTCCACACCTAAGAATGAACGGAACGCCGTCCCATCGCTCGTTATTAATTTTCAAGACAGCAAGCGCAAACGTGGGGGTATTCGAACCAGTGGGCACAGTAGGATCGTCCAAATATCCCAGTCGTGCATCAGGGTCATTCGACTCGGGGTTACCGACGTATTGACCTAATACGACGTTCTCCAGCTCCAGAGGTTTCATGCATTTAAGCACCTTCACCTTCTCGTCTCTTATGTCATCCGGATGACAGGATGCGGGTTTTTCCATCGCGACCAACGATAAGATTTGCAACAGATGATTCTGCATCACGTCTCGAATGATGCCGAATTCATCGAAGTAACCACCTCTTCCTTGCGTGCCAAACGGTTCTTTAAACGTGATTTGAACGGAGGCCACATAGTCCCTGTTCCAAGTTGGACCGAATATGCGATTACCGAATCGCAGGGTCATCAGGTTCTGAACCATCTCCTTACCTAGGTAATGATCGATGCGATAAATCTGCTCTTCCTTGAATAACGATGCCAGATGATCGGACAGATGCTGCGACGTAATAGCATCGCGACCAAATGGCTTTTCTATAATGACCCTGGTCCATCCTCTTAATAAAAAAAGTAAATACAAGTCATTAGTATACGTTTGGAAATGTTTTTAACAGGTGCAACCGCACTTACTTCTCACCCATGCAATTGTTTTTGATATGCACAGTTACGTCTTCGAAAACGCTCGGTGGTAAAGCTAAGTAGAACAATCTATTCGTCATCGGGTAGCCTTGCTCGTATTTCTTCAGCTCGTTGTTCAATGTGACGAATCCTTTCTCCGTATTGTACATGCCGGACACGTAGTGATTCAGTTTCCAGAACTCTTCGTACTTCTTCTCCTCGCCAGACTTTACATTCATATAGGGGTGACATTTTTCACGTAACTGGTTTATCGTCATGCTCGTGCGCGCGTAACCGTAGAACGTTGTCGTCTTCGGTAAAAGATTGTCCCTGAACAACCACCATAGCGTCGGATAGATTTTCTTCTTCGCCAAGTCACCCTGCGTCACAAAAGTAGCTAATTAGAAACTGAGTCTGCAAAGTTCGATCGCAGTTGTACATTTAAACGAGAAAAAGCTTACAGAAGCTCCAAGCGTGACGAACACGTGAGGATAAAGGCTGTCGAAATGGATTCCTTCGAGGTGATCCATTTCCTCCGACTTCAGTGATTGCCTGATGAAGCGCAGGCTCTCTTCGGTCGACGCTTCTGCGGGACAAAAACCATCCCGTGTCTATTCGTGTTGCAGATAATATAATTTAAAAATAGCTTGCAATATCGGGAAGTCCGAATGAAAGAAATTTCATTTTAGTCTTGTCGCGTTTGATATCATGGCCTCTTCATTCAATTATACGGGGTTGAAATCACTTGCACATAAGTATGTCTATTTTTGAGCGAAACTCGTTTGATCTTTTGAACATATTTACAATTAACTCAATCGGAAGAAGTGAATTCGTGAGTAGCGCGAAGCATGATATAAATTGTAAACGAATCCAAGAGATGTAAATTATTTCAAGCTGACAATATGAAGCGCGAGGTTTCAAGGAACAAAGACGTTGGAACCGAAAAATTCAAGGTCATTTCGACGTCGTTTGCGTACTTTGGAATAAAACTTGGAGTAGTTTTTGCTACGAGGTCAAAGTTTCGCAGATAGAAGCTGTATTAGAAAAATTTTAAATTGCGCGATTCCTTTCCTTAGACTTCAGAATCTCTTTTTAAATATTACGTTCCTCGTTTCCTTAGAAATCCTAGCGGATCATTTTTATCTCGAATAAATTGTTTAAATGTAACGGACGAAGCATCATACTGTTCATACGATGAATTATATAATATTATAAGTTAAATAAAACATGCGTAGGGATAGAATGTTGCATTCTAAAACAGGTAAAGAATGTTTCGCATTTCACGGCATTCCATTGTCTGATCGTATCTTCGCCGAAATTGGAGAACATGTTAGAGCAATGGACAATAATGACCCTAATTCTGGCTACATAAAATTAGTGTCGTTAAACAAGAAAATTATGTTGCATGTATGCAACGATAGACGAGTAATCTCAACCGCTTGTTCTTTGAATCGACTTCCACAAATTCTTATGTAACGTCAGGAAATCGACAACATCATTCAACTTTTTATGTAACATAGCGTGAAAACCAGCGATCGTATGGCGGGGATATATGAAATATTCAATTAGCGAATGTCAATTTAACAAGAATAGAATAGATAGAACTACGTAACGAGGACAAAATAGCGACTTGTCAATTTTTAGGAAACAAATCATTGCTTATCTATGGAAATATTGAGTTGCTGAATATATAATATTAAAACTAAACTATACAACTTCTCAACCGAACAATATTTCTATCTTTTAAAAAAATGCGAAACTCTTTTACGCTTGTATAAAAAATTCTGCATATCCTTCCTTACAAATCACGTCGATACGCTCATTGAAAAATACACTGATAAGTACGATAACCGGTAGAAAATAATTATCACAATCACTTTTAAACTTACTAGTCATGATTGACGAATTGGTCAAAAAACTGAAATCGTAGGAAACCGCCACGTTCTCCGGGAACGTGTCACAAGTCGTTAGCTACTATTACACAAGTGAAATGAACGTCCAAAAGCCAGCGATCGGTTCAACCGTTCGACTTCGACTGATCGTGACGATTGACGCGAACGCTATTTTACAGTCTCAGCAAGATGTAATGTATTTTGAAATATAAAATCATTCCTGAATATAGCCCGGGGACAATAGTAACTCACGCTCTCGGGCAGTTTTTAATCGTACGGTCATCTTTTATAAAATACCTATTCTTTTATGTAGGCACAACACATTCTTTGGATTCAAATAATTGTGTCATTCCCTGATAAATTTCCTGGGATAATTATTTCGGACGAAATACTTACAAATATCAGCAGTTAACATTCTCTTTCTACATATAATGTAATGAAGGGAACATCTTGATTACATAAGTTTTGTAATACTTTGCTTGCTTCGTATTCTCTTTTGAAGAATAAATTTATGTCAACGAATAATATTTATTCTATTTCCTCACACGACTATTTCGAAATAGTAAAAAGTGTCTCTACACGTGGTATCAAAGGACAACATTATCGTACGACTGTGTTGAATTAAAATAAATGTTCTCTCTTTTTTTTACGATATTCCTGCGCATTAAGGTCGACTTATTAGAGCAAACATATCCGACCCTACATATATGAAACGCAAAAATAAATTAAAAGTAACCACGCAGCCTTAAGAAAGCAGCTTATTTTTTTTACTATGTTCCGTTACGCCCATTTCAATCGACATTATCTTAATACGTACATTTACGATACTCTTCCTAGCGACAGACACGAAAGCATATTAAACACTGAAATGAAATCGGCAGGGAACACCGACTAGCTAGTCCTGTGAGATATACATATTATAACATAAGTGGAGTGCAGAACTGTGGAAAGGCGGGTAGAAGGACGGAAAGACACATTGTCTTGATGGTCAAGGACGCGATAATGCGAAAACCGGTGGGTGGAACTAATCGTGTATTTAAGATGTTTTGCACCTCGAAGCATCTTTTCATAAGTTCTCTTTCACTTGAAGTGAAAGATAGGGACGACACATGAATTATCGTTTAACGTATGTACGCATCTGTATTAATTAATTCAATGTGTCCTATTCATTCTAATTCCTTGTATATCTCGGTATCCACTATTTATCACGTTCGCATCGTATTGTATTACCTGGGGAGAACGTGTGTGTATTCTTTACGAATCGTCCATGTGTGCGAGAACACTTAATTGTAGCGTAAAATAGCCACGTGTAAATCTTGCGAGAACCAATGACTTTGCAAGTACATAACTCAACTGATTCATTATCGTACGTGAATCGTTCGATGTCGGTCCTTAAGTAGAATCCGAAGATCCTTCGATAAGATACTGACTTTTAAATTACGATGCAATTTGTGTACGTACAGTATATAATGTTCCAATAAACCGGAATCAGAAGACGCAAATCCCGATTTTCAATCACAGCGGTGCGATATACTATAATTACTTAACAACATGAGAATGGAAATGAAAATGAGCACGTGATTGGAAGCCAAATATTCTAGTACCTACACGTGACGCATATGAATATGCGTGTAACCTTCGAAGAGAGTAGGCAGTACAATGGGTAATGGAGTGCGTAATATATGAATTAATCAATCGTGCAGGAAGAAACAATAAGCGAAAGTAGGCACTCCGAGCTTCATTTAAAAAGAGATGATATTGGCGTTTCGTATTAACTTTGACAAAACGGTAATATTAAATTTTGCAATAAACAACTGGGTAAGCTACATTTGTTATTTCACGATAAAATCAGATTTTCTAAAATTTTACCAGATAAGAAAACGCAATGTGTATAATTTCCTTGGTAAGGAAAGACGGTGATGTACAAAAGTTTTTCGAATCGCGATTATAAATACACGTAGCCAGATAAGTTCTTTCCGCTCAATTATCAACAGTAACACGTGATGTATCGGCTCACGCGATTTATAACATGGTGTACGTTCAAGGTTATCGCATACATATACATACGTTCACGTTACATTTATAAATTACTGTAAATGTTTACAACTTCGTTCGGAAGTCAGTAGACTCCATTTTTCTTGTGATTTTGTGATGTAATCATTTTCTTTATTCTTGGCACAATTTTGTAATGCGCTCACTTAACGGTGATTTAAACAGTGAATGCATGTTCACGGTCGTGTTACTATATTATGACAATTACTAATGCTAATCTGATGCTGCAGTTTTTGCGATGACAATGCACAAATGTAAAAGATTAAAGACGTATGTGACGTTCCTTCTAAAATATTTTTATTTGTCCTAATGATTATTATTTTCTTTGACAAACTATAAATAAATGATACAGTTTCTACGACTACAAAGATCGAATCGAATGCGCAAACAATTACTCGTAATCGTATCAAGATAAACATGTTGTAATTAGCGCTATCTTTTTCTGGTTATCTTTCATCGTATCACGCTACACTAATATAAGTTTCAGTTTGTCTTACAATTCTTCGAGGCAAATACACAATTTTAAAGAATGTTAGCTAAAATACGATACTACTATAATAGTTTCTAAAAAATGACGTTGCCTTCGATAAATTAAAAAAAAGATAAGTATCTGTATTCCTCGATAAACGATTGAAGCAAGTTAGAAGCGCTCCAAAATAAATAACAAAGTATATACTGTAGCTTACAATATGAAGTGCTTAATCGACAATAAATAAATAAATAAATGAATAACTCACTTCTTTCTCTGTCCATGATTGATTAAAAGCACACAGGATATTATGGACTAAACGACGATCTTAAGTACACAGACGTTTCGTGAAATCTGCAGAAATATATTCTGTATTTCTTTAAAATGACTATATAATTTCTTTTCGCGAAATTGAGGTTACGTTGGGAAATGTAATGCGCTGGTTTACGCGTATACCGATCAATTGTTGTTTTAAATATATAATTCATGTTAACAATAAGTTACTCCACAGCCTACTTTAACTGTGTTTACTCGTGTTGATTCAGTTTTCTCTTTGGTAATTTTGACGCTATCTCTTACGCAACGTTTTTAAGAATAATAATTATCGTAGGTGTATTCTTAATTGATTTAAAGAAATGATCAGTTAAAAATCATACACGTTGTTTTTCAGACATTTTATTACAATGCACAAAATTAGAATTATGTCCGAGCTTTCGATCGGAATCCGAATTCTAACCTTGTTAACCTCGTATTTATTGTAATTTAAAGTGCGTTTCTTTTTTCATAGAAAATGAGGCTACATGCGATACTAACAGCTAAAGGTCCTAAAAGAAGAGCTCAAAATCCAAATACAATTCCAATTAGACAAATGCTACCCTTACGTTTAAAAGACAAAGTTGTTGAATCAGGACGGAATTCGATGGGTACTATATTTATCACTTTACAAAGTTTTCAAGTTGTAAGATAAATAATATAGTTGCCTATTTGCAATAATATATTGCCTATTTCAGAGGGCAAATGTTTGTTTGAAATGTCATTACTGTTTAAGTGTTGGGAGGATAATGATTTTAATGATACAATGTGTGGTCAGTATATGAAGAATCTCCAACAGTGTTATCAGAACTACATGACAACAACAGCTGTCCGTAAAGAACAGCAGAAAATCGACATTCCTACTCCTAACGCGAAGAATTTGAGTACAAGACAAATTAGTTATCTTTTACGCAAGTACCCAACTGTTTAATCATAGTAAATTAAATAAAATACTGTAGACATAAAATATTTTATTATTTCATTTTTCACTCCTTTATTTCTTTATTTGTCTCGGCTTTCAAACGTTTTACTTGCAATCGAGTATAATAACCTACATAAATATGAATTAAATAATTAACCAGTCCTTTATATGAGATAAGTATAATTGTCTGAAAATTATTATACATACGATGATTAGTAGAAACAGCTGTTACTTCCTGGATACTGTTCAATTTGTGTTCTATGCGTTTCAACGCTTTATAGTTTTCTACATGCTCATCTTTGTAATAGTAATATGTACAAAATAGTGTTATAGCACAAAGGGACAGAGCTATTTTTCTATACATCCATGTCGTGCTTATTAAGCTTTCCTATGTAGAAGTAATTTTTAAATCCTCTGCTATTGATACATAATTTCATCTTATCAAATTTTTGCATTACCTTGTCACTGGAATCAAGCATAACGTTATCATAATATTGAACCAGCATTCGCTCAGCGATGATACTTAAACTTAGAATCGTAAAGAGTGTAATTCTTGCATCTGCGGTTTTCCGAGATGAACTGAATAACGCGCATAAAATGCAGTTGACTGTATAATATAAAATTGATTGAAACCATGAAACCTCCCCAATGATCCAATTTTGAAACGAACGTAAATATGAGAAGATTTGAAACAGTAATTCTCTTTGGTCCTTAGCTGATTCTCTACAATTAATATATTAAATGTATTAAACATTCTACTAGCGTGTACTTTGTTCACTTACTTAAAATCTTTGACCATAATGTTAACACTTTCTGAGGATGACCTCAACACAGTGCCGAGTTCTTTCCCATGATCTAAAAGCTGATTTTGCATTTTTAAACTTTCCTTCTGACTTTGAAGCATAGTCCCTTGTACCTCTGAAGCTTCCAATAACTGTTCTTTCATTCTTGAAGAAACTTGATATAATCTACAATAACGAACTATATATCTCGTTTTAAAGTATATTAATAGCTAATTAAGAACAGAACTCACTGTTTAATAGTGTTATCAGTTTCAGTTTTCCAAATTTCATAATTTAAATAAAAACACATGTGCGTCGTGTGTATGTAGAATTCATTATACACGTTGAATGCCCTATCTGACATA